TATATTAAATCTCTCAAGATTTCAGAGGTTCAGTTCATGGTTGGCCCAAGGTGAAGCAGGCCATCATGGCAGAAGGATGTGGCAGAGGATATGGCTCAGGACATGGCAACCAGGAAGCAGAGGAAAGAGAGCTCCATTCATTAGGGACAAAATATAAACCCCAAGACATACCCCCAGTGACCTACTTCCTCCAGGCACACCCTACATGCCTACAGTTAATTAATATCAGTGAATTAATCCACTGATATTGTTACCCATCTCGTAATCTAACCATCTCAGCTCTGAACATTCTTGCATTGTCTTACATGAACTTTTTTCTTTTTTAATTTAATTGATTTTGTTTTTTAAATACAAGACAGCAGAATGCATTACAATTCTTATTATACATATAGAGCACAATTTTTCATATCTTTATATATAAAGTATGTTCATGCCCATTCATATCTTTATACATGTACTTTTTCTGCACTACGATTCTTATTACACATATATACCACAGTTTTTCATATCTCTGTCTATAAAGTAGGTTGACACCCAATTTGTGTCTTTAAACATGTTCTTTGGATAATGATGTCCATCACATTCCACCATCCTTGCTAATCCCCTGCCTCCTCCCTTTTTTTTAATAAAGAAAAATAGTTTATTTTGACTCATAACTTTAGAGATTTCAGTTCATGATCATGAGCAGACTCATTGCTTCTAGGCCTCTGGTGAGGGTGCCAGATGGCAATAGCAGGGAACTCATAGTAGAGAAAACTACTCCCTGTATGGCCAGGAGCAAGAGAGACAGAGGAAGGGGTCTGGTGTCCTCACAATCCACTTCAAAGTCATGCTACCCATGGCCTAAGTACCTCCCACAGTATCCTTCTTCATGGAGGTTCTGTCATCCCCCAGTAGTGCTACCCTGAGGACCAAGCCTTTATCACCTGGGCCTCTGAGGATATTCAACCTCCAAACCACAGCACCTGCTACAGACCAATACCTAAGGCCACAGCTGCTGTGTGGTATGGGAGCTTTAGGTCCTGCTTCTGGAACCTGGCAATGTGGCTGATGATCAAAGAAATATGCATAAAACAGCAATGTGGCTTACAGGGCCCTCCTTCCACGAGATCTATTTACACAGTCTGAGTGAGCTGCCTGCTGTTTTGTCTTACATGAACTTTTGAGGGATACTTCATATCTAAACCATTATCCCCACCCCCAACATCCTGAGTACTTTTCACTAGCTCACCTCAGTGCTTTAAAATGATAAGTATATACATTTTTTGCCAATTTAAAAATAAATTCTAAAAAGTAAAACAATAGTATTTGGTGGGAGTACCAGGGATTGAACTCAGGGGCACTCAACCACTGAGACACATCCTCAGCCCTGTTTTGTATTTTATTTAGAGACAGGGTCTGAGTTGCTTAACACCTCACTTTTGCTGAGGTTGGCTTTGAACCTTCGATCCTCCTACCTCAGCCTCCCAAGCTGCGGGGATTACAGGCATGCTCCCGGCAACAATAGTATTTTTAAAACTCCCTTCCTTTGTTTCTGCAGAATTCAATCTCTCTTCCCTCTATTGTACTAGTCTTCAATAAAGTCTTCCTCCCCTGCTTAGCTTTATCCAATGCAGCTCTTACTTTGATTCTGTTTTAGTCAGCTATTTGGCTGCTGTGACTAAAAGACCCAACCAGAACAACTGCAGAGGAGGAAAAGTTTATTTGGGAGCTCATGGTTTAAGAGGTCTCGATCCATAGAGTGCATACTCCATTCCTTGGGGCTCAAGGTGAGGCAGGACATCATGTCAGAAGAGTGTGGCAGAGGGAAGCAGCTCACATAATGATCAGAAAGCAGAGATTCCACTCTCCAGATACAAAATATCTACCCCAAAGCCATGCCCCCAATGCCCTACCCCCTCTAGCCACATGCCACCTGCCTTCAGTTACCACTCAATTAATCCCAGAAGGTGATTAATTCACTGATTGGGTTAAGTCTTTAATAACCCATTCATTTCTTCTCTGAACTTTCTTGCATTGTCTCACATGTGAGCTTTTGGGGGACAACCTCACATCTAAACCATAACAGACTCTCTTCATTTAGAATGACACTTCCTTATTCTGGTTAAGCTCTAACAGCCCCACACCAGGCCCTGGTGCATGGACACCCTCCTCACTGGACTCTAGCTCTGATTCCCAAGCCAGACTACTGCTTTGCATGGACACCTTCCGGCTCTGACTTCTTGCTCAGGGCCACATTGAGTCCTCTATTCTCCCACCACAGACATCTGTCTTTCTCTACCAAAAATGTTATTAGGACTGAATTGTTTAGAAATGGAAGAGCAAGAAAGAGAAGGTAAAGGAAAGAGGAAGAGTTTATTTATTTATTTTATTCCATTTCTACTTGCCCTGAATGTACATCAGAACTACTCAGGAAGATTTTTAAAACGACTTATGCTTGTCTCTATCCCTAAGGATACATGACTGTCCCGAAGAGGTTCTGGGCCTCCTGCTTTTTGAAAGCTCCCCAGATGATGTTAATGTTCAGTGCAGGTTAAGAACCATTTCTTTATCAGAGGCAAAAAGGATCAGACTGTAGGTTGCAGGTGAATTAAGGATCTGGAAAGTGAAGAAAGTGTGAAAGCCTATCAGATGTCTTAAATTTTGTCCATTCTGCAGAAAGAGACGCCACTGGTTGAGAGTGATGGCAATCAAAATCGTCCATGAAATGGATAATTTACAAAATAATGCTTGTTGAAAAGGGAGACAAAGCATAATTTAAATACTGTAGATGACAGGGCGGTGTACATTGCCTACTTAAAGTTAAATGCTGCAGAACTTAGTAAATTTTCTCAAATGTTAAATTTTTATTTATTATTTTTTACGATGTTTAATATATTTTTTAGTTATAGGTGGATACAATATCTTTATTTTATTTTTATGTGGTGCTGAGGATAGAACCCAGTGCCTCACCCATGCTAGACAAGCCCTCTGCCTCTGAGCCAAAACTTAGCCCTAAATTTTTATTTTTAAAGGAATATAAAGAAAAATGAAAAGAAGTCAAAAACAGGAAAATGAAATTGAGTTTGAATAATCTTCTTTTTCTCCCTTTGTATAGTCTGTATTTAAGTTTGAAAATGAATGTTCATTATATTTAAAATTGAAAATATGATGATTTTAGTTTTATTGAGGTAAAATATATTTTATATTATATTTTGTATTTATATTATATTTGTGTTTAATATAACAATATAAATATATATTATTATAATAACATAATATAATAATATAAATATAATATATTTATATAACTATATTATTATAATATATATATATTTATATTATATTATCTATATCCCTAAGGATACAAGAAGATACATGACTGTCCCTATATATACATATATATAAAATATATAATATCAAATGCAAAATCAAATACACATTTAAATGTACCCATCTTAACAAGAGTGGGCATATGCATACACCTGTGGTACCATCACTACAATCAAGTTACTCCTCCAAAAAGAAAAAATAAGATTTTAATTTTCATAAGATAATAAAATAAATCATGACTCAACAAGCAGAAGAATTTAAGGGCACTCTTTTACTTTACTAAGCTGCCATGACAAAGTAACACAAACTGTGTGTCTTAACAGAAATTTGTTTCCTGGCAATTCTGGAGGATCAAGGTGTGTCATGAGTGTTGGTGTCTTCTGAGGCCTCTCTCCTGGCTGACAGATGGCTGTCCCCTACCTGATTCTTCACATGGTCTTCCCTCTACACATATCTTGAGTTCAAATTTCCTCTTCTTATAAGAATACCAGTCAGGATTAGTGTCCTTCCTAGAGACCTCATTTCTTTTTTTTTTTTTTTAACTAGTGTTTGTGTGAACATATGTTTTCTTTTTTTTTTATTGGTTGTTCAAAACATTACAAGGCTCTTGACATATCATATTTCAAACATTAGTTTCAAGTGAGTTATGAACTCCCATTTTTACCCCAAATACAGATTGCAGAATCACATCGGTTACACATACACATTTTTACATAATGCCATACTAGTAACTGTTGTATTCTGCTATCTTTCCTATCCTCTACTATCCCCCCTCTCCCCCATCTTCTCTTTTTATCCCGTCTACTGTAATTCGTTTCTCTCCTTGTTTTTTTTTCCCCCTTTCCCCTCACAACCTCTTATATGTAGTTTTTTATTACAATGAGAGTCTCTTTCCATTTCCATGCAATTCCCCTTTTCTCTCCCTTTTCCTCCCACCTTGTGTCTCTGTTTAATGTTAATATTTTCTTCCTGCTCTTCCTCCCTGCTCTATTCTTAGTTGCTCTCATTATATCAAAGAAGACATTTGGTATTTGTTTTTTAGGGATTGGCTAGCTTCACTAAGCATAATCTGTTCTAGTGCCATCCATTTCCCTGCGAATTCCATGATTTTGTCATTTTTTAATGCAGAGTAATACTCCATGGTGTATAAATGCCACATTTTTTAAATCCATTCATCCATTGAAGGGCATCTGGGTTGGTTCCACAGTCTAGCTATTGTGAATTGTGCTGCTGTGAACATCGATGTGGCAGTATCCCTGTAGTACGCTCTTTTAAGGTAGAGACCTCATTTCAACTTAATTACTTCCTTAAAGACCCTACCTCCAAATATAATGGTATTCTGAGGTTCAGGATTTTAACATTTGGATTTGGGAAAAACAATTCACCCCAAAACAGCACTTACATCACACCAAGATTTTAACGTTTTTCCTGATAGTTCTGTTCTCTCTGTATTGTCGCCGCCGCCACCACACACACACACACACACACACACACACACACACACACACTCTGATTTCTTAGCTTTTATGACTTAAAAATCTGCCTAGTAATCAATTTTCTAAGCCACAGTACACATTTATGGATAATTTTCTGCGATGTAATTTTTTGAAGTATTTTACATTCGTTCAAACCTAAGTAAATATGCTCTAAAGCAAAACTGAAACTCCCTGCATTTCCACTTCCTCGTTGTGCTTCTGTACAGAAATCCAAACACACCCTCAGAAGAAGTCAGAGCCCCAGAGGCCGGACAACTTACAGCTTAATGGCTTTACTTTTAGAAAAACTAACATCCTTCCAATCATATATTTCTTAGCCATCAGAAAAGAAATAAGAAATCAAAGGTTAAAATGACTGGTTTCAATTTTTGGAGATAAAAAGAAGTTTTCTGGAAAATTCTGGTAAGTTCCTGAATGAGCTATTTCTTAAAATGCCAGCTGTACTTTTAATATAAATACATGTTTGTACATAAACCATTACTTGTAAAAATGTTAGAGTATCTTTGTATTGAATACATATCAGTATATGTATTGATACTAACTTATGTCTTTCTAAAAAGAAATGTGCTGTTAAGTGTAATTAAGGTGATGAATACCAATCAGACTAGTGAAAGGGTTTCTGGTCATAGAAGGTGAGTGGTGGAAAAGAATATAGAGAAACAGTGCCAAGTGGGTCAGGAATTTAAGCATAAAGGATTGTTACAGAATCTGCATTCCTGTGTAATAATGCAAAATCCTGTCTTTCATAATGTAAGATGTTATTAAGTGTTACACTTCACCAGAGATAATGCTCTCCAGAGACCAGCTATACTTCTATTTTAAATCTTCCATTCATAGCCATTCCATACAGCAATCTGATTGAAAAAAATTTTTTTTTAAAAATTCATTGCCTTCGGGGAAATCGAAACTAACTTACTTGTGTCTGGTTTCAATTTGTCATCCCATTGGAGGAGGGTGTGGCTAGCTCTCCCTGGCTGCAACCCAGACTCAAAAGTGTCTTTTCTCTGCCCACAGCTCTAAGAATCTTGCAGAGCAGAACAAATTCTCTAGGTGTGGATATATGGGGTGTGGCTAAGAACCCCCTGAGATTGAGGTGGGCACCCAAAATATGTGTCCCCAAGAGCTCTGTTGACTTGGTACTTCCTGCTTAACATCAAAAAGAAAGCTGGAGTCGTTCCACTGAGAGTGGCATCCAGCAGCTGCTTTGTCCATAAGTAACAGTACTAATAAGAAGATATGTGGTCACAGTTGTTCCAAAACAGGAATCCGACAGCCAAAGAGTGATGTCAAGAAATTCTCAAAAGTTTGTTCACACCACAAGATGGTTTTGATCTTAACTTACTTCCAACATTACATGAGCAGAGGCTTTTTAAATCATGAAGTGCAAACTATTTTCAAAACTTTAATGACTGCTGTAGGTTTGAATCATCATATGTTCATAACTTCTATCATGTTGACGAGGCAGGGTTGATAACTTTGGGGCATTAATAATAGTCCTAGAGAGTTATTAAATAATTTAGTATTTCATATTAAGACAAGATATTGATTTTTTTTTCCTTTAGTGTAAGCAAAGAGTTTAGATTTGGGGTCTGTTCATCAGTGTCCCTATCTGAAAATAATATTTCTATTGCCTCGGTACCTGTGGGCAAATTCAGAATAAAAGTAACTGAGAGAAAGCTGTGCCCTGATTGGTGGCACCAGGTCAATTTTGCTGCACTTCGTATGCTAGACAGACACAGAATGAGTCACTGCCTCTGCAGAGGCCAGAGAGCTGTAAAAGACGGAGGGGCTGCAGAGGAAGTTCCTGATGTGCTGCTCCATTCCTAGAATGTTGGGTCCTACTGGAATTGCTATATTCCATGGCCAAAGCAAATAAGAAAACCTGGATTCTGTCCTTTCAATATTTCAGGTAACCAGAGAGAGGGTGGAAGGTTAAACTGCTGGAAGAGGACTGTGGCTAAATAAAGGTGCTGCGTGAGTGAGGCCTTATTGGGGTGAGTTGGTGGGAAGAGGCAAGGTCCTCACCAGGAGATCAGCTTCCAGAGCAAAGGCAGCAGGTGACAACACAAAGGCTCTGAAACTCAGAGGCTGAGGACCCAGAGTAAAAGGCACCTCCCCAGGGAACACCCTACCTGAGCAATGGCCTTGTGCCAGGACTGGAAGGGATGCAGTAAAAAGCTGAGAAGGTATAACATGAAACCGGTGCCTACAAGGACCGCAGGAGAAAATACACTTATTCATTTTCCCTTCCTTTTGATAAAACTTCCTTTTCGTTTTTGTGATCAGATAATAGAAGCCGGAGTTAGTTCTGGCCCAGTGAGTGGCACAGAGAAGAGATCTCCCTAGACTTCTGTCTGGGATTTCAGCCAAGTGAAATGATAATCACCCTAACAAAATGAGAAAAGTCCACTGACCTACACACACTGCGAGTTGGAGGGTTTTCAGAAATTCCTTGTTTTTAACTACTCTAAGAAGATATGTTATTCATTCACCAAATTTTCATTTAGAAGCTAGTATGTGTTAGGCATTGTAAAAGAGTGACCCAAATGTACACAGTCTCTTGTCCTCAAGAGTGCACAAAATAATGGGTGGGGTGGAAAATAAACAAGATAAGTAGATAAAAAATATATGGAAAGTTGATTGCGATAAATCTTCAGTAAATAGAAAGTAAAGCCAAAGAGATATAGAAAGTGCTGGGCCAGGGAAAAATGTTTTCAGTTAGCTGGTCAAGCAATACTTCACTGAGAAGGTGGTATTTGATAACAGACCTAAAGGAAGTAAAGGGGTGAGCCTTACAGGTATCCAAAGATAGTCCAGGGAGAGGAAAGGAGTGCAGCAGACCTAAAAGGAGCAGATGCTTCCTAAAACAAGGAGCCATAAGGAAGTGGGGGGCTGGAACAGACTGAGATCTAGAAATGAAAGTTAAGATGTAATCGGAGGGGCAGCAGGGTACCAGCTCACATGGGGCCCTGAAGTCCATAACAAAGGACTTGGCTTTCACTCTGAGTCAAAGGGACAGCCACCCACGGGAGGGATTGAACAGATTATTGGTGTGACATTATATACATTTTAACAGGGTCACTCCAGCCGCTATTTTGAGAAGTCCGAAAGGGATCAATAACAGTAAGAGAGAACATGTGAGATACTTATCCTGCAATTCAGAAGAGAGAAGATGGAGGCTTGGACCATGTGGGAGGCAGGTGGTCAGATCCTGGATATATGGGGATCAGCCTAGGGATTGTTCCACAGTGAATGTGAAATGTAGGAAAAAAGAAACAGCATGTCTGAAACATATTTTGGGATGTTTATTTGTTTTATTCACAGTGTATAAGCATAGAAAAAGACCTATCTAAGGAATAACATTTCTTTTCCCTATCCTCCCAGGTTTTCTCTATGTTTGAAAGTATTCAGAATAGAAAGTTAGAGGGAAAGTCTGTATAATAAATACTTCCTAAGTAGAAGTTCAGTCCCTGCATTTTAATTTGTGGTGGTATTTGTTTTTGTTGTTGTTTTGCTTTTGATGTGATAGATTCTCAACAAATATGTTCTTAGGCAAACTGAACAAGGACCAACTGTGCTCTACCTGCATCTCTGCTTCCTCGTTGATTTACAGAATGAGATTTCCACAAATTCTCAAGCAAATGCAACTCACTCAAGTGTTCTAGATCAAAGAAGCTCAGGAAGACGTGTTTCAAGTTTCTGACATAAAAAATATAAATTTTCAGAAAAGCCCTGGTAAGTTTCTAATTATTCGTTTATTTAAGCAACTCTCATTAAAAGCTGTCTTTATAAACTAACTCTAAAAACTTAAGGAGATCTTTAGAAATGAATATTCTTTCAAATGCATTTAAGTATTTGTGATGAATTGATTTTAAAAGAAATGACAATGGAAGAACGGGGTAAAATGTCGACCAGGAGATCAGGATTCCAAGCATACCAAACCACATAGAATATTGTAGGCAACTATGAACTCTGACCAATAAAACTTAAGATGATATCAAAAGTTTATATCTACCTTAGATAAAAACCCTCCAAAGTTTAATCGTTGTTTTATTTAAGACCTTCCTTCACACAACTAGCTGGTACAGACACTATGTGAAGAAATACATCCTTATAATATGCAATACAGGAAACTGACTAACTTGCTTTGTGGTTTCCTCTGGCCAAGCATTGGAGTGGTGCAGAGCTGCAGGGTTGTAGCTGTGCTGAAGAAGGGGATGCCTGCTGGCTCTGGGAGATTGGGTTTGGTACCAGAGCTGTCCCTGACAGGGTGCTGCTTTGATCCTTCCTGAGCAGCCCCCCAAAAGGGAAAATAAAAGTCCTTAAGGAATAGATCCTGAATTTAATTCTAATAAGGAGAACCTCTGGGTTTCAAAATTAGTTTGGCAGAGGAGGTGGTGGAGGACTTCCCCAGAGTTTCAACCAGCTATACCACTAATCACACCAGATAGAGGGATTTCATATGCACTTCTTTTGAAGAGACTGAACAAAAACTCAACAAACAAGACAATACTGGTTCTCATCCACTTCCCCTCTATTATGAATAGGAAAGTGGTCTGCCTAAGAGGAGAGCTCCCTTAATCATGACATAATTTTACTGAATACAATTCCTTCCCCTTTATACATACTATATAGCTTTCTGCTAAACATCAAGGTCCTTTGCTGTTTAGAAAACATAGCAATAGTCCAGGATTTAAGGTTGAAGACATAGAAAGAAACAAGGAATTATGTCAAAGCCTTATCAAAACCTTTTTGCTCATATCATTGTGAGCTATGTAATATATAGCCCCAGTCAAATATGGATCATAGGTCATATAAAATGCTACTATAATTATCAGAGGTCAAAAGTTATGTAAAAGTGGTTCAAATGTATAGTAGCTGCAAATTATCTATCTTCTCAACTACCATCATAGAGGTGGATGACTGAGAAATGTTTGATGCTAGAAAGGAACCTTCATCTTTTTTGTTTTCTTTTTCTTTTTCTTATTTTTAGTACCAGGGATTGAACTCAGAGGTACTCTACCACTGAACCACATCCCCAGCCCTATTTTGTATTTTATTTAGAGACAGGGTCTCACTGAGTTGCTTATCGCCTTGCCCTTGCTGAGGCTGGCTTTGAACCCTCGATCCTCCTGCCTCAGTCTCCCCAACTGCTGGGATTACAGGTGTGCACCACTGCACCCAGCAGGACCTTCGTCTTTGAACAATGAGGGACTCTTTGACATACAGTAGAGATTTTTAAAAAGCATCAGGCTTGGGGAGGACAGTCACCTCATTTGAAGAGTTTCTATCTCCCAGGAATTCAAGCAACAAAGAAGAAAGTGAGGGGGAATTTGTCACCCTGTGAGATGACACACAAAGTCCAGCCTTCCACCATGCCCCACATTCCTTTTTCTGTCCCCCACCTCTAGTGTCTGCTAAGCAGAAAATCCTTAATGTGCTGCTTCTTGTAGAGTTCCGGAATCCATGAGAATGGCTATAACCTCTGGCTAATACAGAGGCGAAAATCCAGAGTGTTCCTTACAATCATTTAGGTTTCCTAAGGTGTGGGTTGATTGAGCTACCGACAGAGGGCTCTGACTAAGAGAAGATACTGCCTCAGACCTGAACAGGGCCAGTCTGTGGAGCATGATAAGAGTATCTTCAGAGGAGTGTCTGTGTGTCCAGAGCAGAGAGAGGGCTTAGAACCCTAAGGGCTGAGGACTTAAGTAGGAGCCAACCTCTTGCAGGGACAACCCTTTGTGAGAAAGTGCTCATTCAGGAACTATAAATAAAGCAGCAAAAGCTGATAAGGAAACTGGGCTCATGGAGGACTTCAGATGAAGGATGGATGTTTACTGACTTTTGTTTTTAAAACATTGACTGTTTTCTGAGTCCTGATGATCAGTTGACTTGGCAGCTTCAGTTAGTTCTAATTTCATAGATGACAAACGAAGAGATTTTTAAGTTCTTTGTTCCATAAGCATTGCTAACTCATGGATTTCCAAAATGACAATTCAATTGTTTTACTACTCAAAAAATCTTATTTTTTTTTTCATTCAAAAGAAAAAAAAAAAAAGCTCATTGAGTACTAATTTTACGACAGGACCCAGGGCTTCATCAATCAATGTGTGGCAAAAAAAAAAAAAAAAAAAGTCTGTTTTCATGTGGTTTATACTGTAGTTTCTGAGACAGAATGAGAAGAGGATTAAGTAAAATATGTAGTATGTAAATCCCCAAAAAGAAAATTGAATCAGGGAAGAATGAGGAAAAGTGCTGAGGAAGAAGTCTCTTGTTTAACACAAAATTTTAAGACAGGAATACAACAAAGGCCTTTCTGAATCTGAGTAAAGGGGTGAAGGAAGTGAGGATGTGAGCTATGCAGGCATCTAGAGGAAGAGCATTCCAAGCACAGGGAGCAGCTGGTCTGAAGACTGATGATGCACCAGCATGGCTGGCATATCCGAGCAACAGCACAGCAGCTGGGCGGCCGAGTGGCATGAGTGGAGGCGATGAGGTCAGAAAGACAGTGGGGTAGGCAGATTGTGTGGGACTTTAATGGCTTTTATTCAGAGGGTTTTGAGCAGAGAGGCACGATTCCACTAACATTTTAACAGAATCACGTTGGCTGCTCTGTTGAAAATAAAATGAATAGGTTGAGAAATAGGGACAAGCCAGAGTCAGACAGACCAGGTAACAATGAGTGAATAAGTCAAGAAAGAGATGATGGCTTGGACCAGGGTGGAAGCAGTAGCGATGTGAGAAATGGTGGGATTCTGCAGACACCATGCAGGTGAGGTTGAAAGTCCTGGGAAATATAATGAATATGAGGTATGTGGAAAGGGAAGCAGTCACAGCTCCCTTTGCTGTGAACCACTGGTGAATTCCATTCATTGATAAGACTGTGGGGGAGCAGGTTTGGGGTGGGAGAGATAAATATCAGGAGACTGATTTTAGCCATGTTATAAGGACCGTGAGATGCTCAAGTCGACACAGAGAAGGGAAGATATACTGATGAACTGAGGGAAGCGAAGAGGAGGATTTAACTAGCTTCATTAGCTAGGAAGGGAGTGGTAGAGGGAAGAGACTGATTACAATGAGTGGCCAAGACACACAAAGCCAGTTAAAGGGGGAAAGCAGGAACAGGAGGACAAGGATTGCCACTGCAAGGTACCACAACCCAGGTCTCTTCAACAACAGAAATGCGTTGTCTCAGACAACAGCTGTGAGGAAGAGCCTGTTCCATGCCTTAGGAAGGTGGTGTGCTGGTAATCTTGGGGGATCCTGTGCTTACAGAACATGACCATGACCTCTGCTTTTTCTTCACATACTGTTCTCCCTAAATGTGTGCCTTTGGGCCCAAATTTTCCCTTTGTATAAGGATACCAGTCCTAGTGGATTAGGGTCCACCCTAATGAACTCATGTTAACTAAGGACTTCTATCTCCAAATAAGGCCATATTCTTAGGTCCTGGTGTTTAAGACTTTAGCACACAAAAGGGGAAGGCATGCAATTCAGTCTATAATAGTAATGACATGGTGAAAGGTGTGACCGTGGAATGGAAGTGGGTTGAGGTTCAGATCATCAAACAAGAATTAGTAAGTCAGGTGACAGATTCACGTATCGGAAGGATCAATTATATGTCTATTGAGCAACCAAAAAATTATGACAGAAATAGTATCTGTGGGCATGAATGTTCTCCTTCTTTTCAGCTGCCTATTGAAAGGTGTTAAAATGTATAAGAAATCAAATATTCAGGCAAGTTATTCAAGTATAAAATATTTCAAGTCTAAATTTTAAAATAAGATAGCATCCTGTTCTTTAATAGCTCATATTAGATGAGAGTGGTCACTTTTCATCCAGTCTTTTCTCCAAGATGACTTCAGAAAAACCTTTCATTAAGAATTCTTTTTTTAATAACTGTTTTCACTGTGGGTTGCATGATGCTTGCAAATGGGTAAGGCAGGCACCCTTCAGTCTCACCTCAAGTGGCACTGTGGGCCTCTGTAGAGAAGACAGAGACATCAGGGCTGAGTTTCCCAGACTTGAGGAGTCAGCTACTGGTCTGTCTTCCTCCACTCAGGTAACTTCACAACGGGCTAGTGCCCTAGCTCTGTGTGGAAGGCACTGCCCTATACTGAACATATACACCATATTCCTTAGACCTTACTAGACCTTAGGCCTTCGGGTGGCCTACCAGATGGACAATTCCTCATTCCCTTGACTATCCCTCAGGGTTCCTCCCTGCACCCACCTGCCATCTTATCCCAGCAGCTCCCCCTTAACCTTGCCTGCCCTACATTCCCACTCACCTCCTGGTGATATCAGCGGTTCCTCACTATGCCTCTTCTTGTGTCAAAGCACTTATCACAATTTGTCATTATAAACTTTTTTGAGTGTTCATGTGTGACTTGTTTTGTCTTTTAAAATCCTTTCCAATGGACTAGAGTCAGGAAGAAATTTACTAAATATCTGTTGAATGAATGAAAAAGGAGACCATTAAAGTTAAAACAATACTTATCTCTGGTGTCAATGTATGTGATAATTCTTACAGAACTTCTGAAACTACTTCTATCTATGTTACAAATGAACAGAATTGATCATCTGAAGTATGTTTACAGTGTTCCTTGTGCCAGTTGCTCAGTCTTGCTAATTGGCTCAGGACTAATCATGACCTGAAAAGTGAAGCCAGGAGTAATGAAAAGCATTCAAGATGCTAAAACCAGGAAAAGTTTTATTAAAGACAGTGGAAGCAG